GGTCAAAAGATGTTTTTCCTTATGCTTAAAATTAGTGTTTGCTAGAAATAAGCGGTTATCTGAGCACAGTTGCAACAGACGGTCACCATTGTCTGTTCTTTGAGCCGCGAGACCGTAACATCCACCTAGGTGTCTTTCATTTTCACTTAGTCTACCTACTTGTGCATTGAAGTCACCAGCCATTATAACTATATCAGAGCGCTTAACTTTTTGGAGGAGGTCCGAAAGCTTTCTGTAAAACTCATCTTTTACATCATCTGGGCTGCAGTCAGTGGGGGCGTAGGCTGATATGACGAAGAGGCAACGACGAGTGTCCCTATCTTTCCGAGTCCTTACTGTCCCGTTGAGTCGGACGGCGCACAAGCGACTATCTACAGGGATCCAGTCAAGGAGAGATTGTTCTGCCCTACGACTCAATGCTATACCTACACCGGCGAGGCCCCTAGAAGCAGCATCAGGGCTACCGGATACACGAAGGGTAAATCGAGCTGCTTCTTTATCTTGACATGGTGAGGTCAAATGAGTGATGCTACTCGGATCCTGTATGCGCGTTTCCGAGACGCAGCACACATCGATGGAACGAGATTCTAAAGTCCTAGCTAATGATGCCTGTTGCCCTATTTGACACAATGTCCGTACATTGAATGCTCCAACATGTAGTTTGGAACGGGGTTTAAGGAGACCAGGAACGACGTTTCGCAAACTCGCATCGTTTGCATTAGCTGTGCACTGTAATAAATGAATGTGAGAAGAGTTAGTTGTGGAGATAAGAGAGGTATTAGGGAATGTAGGAAAGATTTGATTTTGAACAATTTGGTCTCGTGTGCTGTTACGGGTATGAGGGCGGTTGTCACTTCCCGGCTGCCCACACCGTGGAAGGTTGTTTCTTGACGAACCTGAAAAGGAAGATGGATTAGTGTTGGTGCGTGACCGCAGAGTCCAAGGGACAACTGCTTGAGGCCGGTCACGCACGGCCTTTTTATGAAAGGTATTTAGAGGATTAGCTCCGTTCTTAAAGGCCCTTAGTGGGCACCCTTACCCAAGGAGACGGAAATCCGTGAGGTAGGGGAGGTGTGACATTTTTAGGGCCGACCTTTTCTAACCCTTCCTTCCTTGTGAGAAGGCAGCATCGCTGCAGATGCTGGTTGTCCGAGGGAAACACCTTACTGCTGTCACACCCCTCTGCAGTCAGCAGTACGACTTCGCCCTCAGACCTTGGGTAGCTGCTTTTAGTCTCATCGTTCTCCAATCGACCTGCCTGGCATGGTAGGACCTGCAGGAACATGTGTTCCAGCCAGTATAGCTCGGTTGGGTCATCACGATAGGCAAGCCCGACCACCACGTCAAGGTAGCAGCTTCGGTCGGGTTATGTAGTGGACCGTATCATAAGTGAAATTTTTCTTCTACCTAGATGGATTTCAATATCAATGAAACTGTCCTACTTTTTAATAAATAAAAAAAAAAAACTTGAGACTATTTCAGTCTAACCATGACAGTAAACAGATTTACGGATAAGTAGTAATCTCTTTTGTAAACATTAATACAAACACTTAAATAAGAAAAGGATCATGTATCTAAATCTAAATTACCTAGAATAATGTGGAACTTTTAAATTAATTCAAGTTTTAATTCATCTTAAACGTAAACTTAATGGATTCAGCTGTATTGAGTAACACATCTGAAAGTAGTAGTGTAATTGTGAATCAATAACAAAAATGATACTTCAACAGTTAACCGTTAGATATGTATGATATATCCACAATAGCAGTAGATCTCATTTACTATCATTCACTATCTACTGTTTTGCTTGAGTGAATAGTGAATATAAATCCTATATGAAGAGAACTTTTGTTACCGTGTGAAATAATAATCACGCATACCATTGGGTAACAGTCATATTTAACTGCAAGTAGAATAAATATGAGAATATGAACCAATAGATTTCTATTCGATTGTCTAAAAAAATCCATATCCTACAAGACTTAAAAGTCCTGTATTCTGTCATTAGTGCAGTCGTGAATAACTACCACTGAAAATTGCGGTGGAGGGAATTTGTAGCTCAGGAGAGTGATTGTTGTGGAATTTCGTTCTCTGAGCTGAATGTTTAGATATTGAATTTCAATCTCACCAATGATCAAGCCAAAAATGTGGGCTCTTCTGATGATGATGAATATGCCGTCTACATAAAGTAATGAGCTGGAGAACACTTAAAAGCTGATCAACAGAGTCTGTGATGACACAAAATTCACAATAGCAGGGGAGTTAAACAACAAGCTATCATTCCTGGATGTATTTATAGCCAGAACTGACAAAAGAAAACTGGAGACTCAAGTATTTCGGAAGCCAATCCACATAGATCTAATTCTCAACTATCAGAGTGACAACCTAAGAACTCACAAAATCAGCTACGTACGAACTTTGTTCGAGAGAGCAAAAACATACTGCAGCAAACATGAAGCACAAAATGCACGAAGAAAAATATCTGATGACTATCTTCTAAAAGAACGGCTGTCCACGCAACTTTGACAAACATTAACAACTGAAACAATCGACAAAAGCGAAATCAAGTACATGTACCAACAAACGAATCATCCTACCATACATAAAAGACATATACGATCACTAGAGCCATTTTGGAATAGGTGTAGCACATAAACCAACAGAATAAATTCAATCAATCCTATGTAAACTGTTGGGGACACCAGCCGACGCGTCACAAAATTTCTTGTACGTCTATCGAACAACACCAAAAGAAGTGTTACCGGAGCAAAAGTCCCCAGCAGAAATCCTGATGGGAAGAAGACTGAAAACGATCCACAGCCTGATGCATACGACTAATGCACCAACATCAGTAGCGACAAAGCCACAAAGGCAATCCTCTTACAAGGCGGGATGCCCTGTGTTCGCCCGTGACTACAGAACAAATCATGGTCCCTGGGTAGAAGCGCGAGTGATCAGAAGAGTTGGGCGAGTTATGTACGAAGTAGAGGTAGGAGGCGATGAATGATCACGCCATCAAAATCAGATACGCAAACGGCTAGCCCCAGATTGCCCATCAAGAGCAGCAAATCTTCCCCTTGACATCCTGCTTGATACCTTCAACCTAGCGGCAGCACCACCACGTGAAGAAACTCAGCAACAAGCCGTTCTCCGTCTCAGAAGGTATCCGCTCAGACAGCGGCGAACAACAGTCAAGATGCAAGTACACCCCAGCAGCGCACGCTATTAAAAAGGGGAGGAGTGTTGGGGACGTTAGATCCCCAGAACTCGCTTGATAAATGCCTTAATTTTGGATTTCACGTTTGCGAGCATGGGCTGGTCAGTTGACACTGAGATTTCATTTCCCACCAGAAAAATCCTTGGCTGTGATTGGTTGCTGTGTATTTTAATGGGCTATTTTTGTGACTGTCCCAAGGACTTTTTATGATGTATAAATAAACGAGATTTGTGTGCTTGAATTCATTGTGCTTGCTGGATGTTTGTAGAATATACTTCCTACGCTATATCAAGACTTCTCTTTTGTCGTTTCGAGTCAACGGATCAAGGTAGCCTTCCTGGACGCTGGTTGATTGTCTCGTTCTATTTTATCGACTAAGGTGAACCCGTAATAGTTTCAAGCATACTTAGTGATGAACCTAAAATAAACCGAAGGACAAACAAACCAAACATCATCTACAAAATCAACTGTTCGAACTGCGAAAAGCATTAAATGGGACAAAGTGGACGTCCTCTTAATCTTTGTCTAAGTGCACACCAATTAGAAGCCAAACGTCATGACATGTCTTCCCTTATATCAATACATACATGGACATACCATTAGGTTGCAACAATTTTAAAATACTGGACAGAAAGAATACAAGGAACACTAGAGAAACGTTAGAGGCTTGGCACTTAAGTCAATCAGCTATCAACAAACACATCGACATTGACCCAACCTATCAACTGATCAGAAACATCATAGGATTAAGAAACAAATCAAAGGGGGATACAATAAAAATAAAGATGCGGACAACGACAGATTAATGGTCAATAATCTAGATCGACGTCGACAGGACAAGCTACGAGTCATACGTGAAGAAATTCGAATAATTCACTTCTACCTGAAGTGTGTGTTGATGATGTTGTTCAGCATAATAATTAAAGCTCCACAACCGAAATATCCAGCTCACAGAACGAAACTACCACAGTCTTGCCTATTCATAGCCACTTTTGAATCGCTCGTTTATAAACCTATTTTCCCATTCTCTGGTATAATTTGGTCTGGAATGTTTGTAGATAAACTACGTCTGCTTGAAATAAGACGAATTCTGTGAAGGCTGGCTATAAACTTCAGGACTAAGGGGTAGGGTAGAGAGAAAGAAGCTATCAAGTTGTGGACCAACAAGGATTTAGAGCTGACTCAATGAACTAAAACGTAATTCTGATTAGGGTTTTGTAGCTGTCACAGTCAGGGATACAATAGTCTGGCTGATCAGTGAAGTCGTATGCTACTGACCTGAGCTATTTATAAAAGTTCGACTTCATAGTGGAGTCTGAAATGTTAGAAAGCAATTACTGATATGGCCCAGAGAACCTCTGGATATTTTAAAATACATCCTTTGTTAATTCAGGATACTCCAATGAATCCATCTAACATATCATTCTTCTCTTGCTTTTGAGATGCATCACAACTAGGACTGATTTGAACACTCATACGGAGTTCTATATTCTCCTGACTAGTTTTCCTCTGATAATTACATTCCGCAAACAATGATCAGTTTTAATCCTTTCAGACCTTTAAAGTAAGTTTGGAAGTTCAAGTGAAGGGAACCAAGCTACCACGAGGGAAAAACCGATAAATTCAACAAAGCAAAAAGCATTAGTTGAAAAGTGTTTTGAATTAATTCAGTCAGTGTTAAAAGTTGTGAAAACTAGAGAGATCCAGGGAGAAAATATTTCTACTTTTAGTAAGTTGATATTTAAATGAACAGCTTTGGAAATCAAATTCAAACTGAACTTACCTTATCGGATATCCAACTTCGACCAGCTTGATAAGCATTTGTAACTAAGACACTAAACATTCCATCAACTTGTTCCCTTTTAGGAAGCCAACTAAAGTAAAAAAAAAGAAATAAAATCACTTAATCAAACTTATGAATTGCGGTACACAGAAATATCAGGAAGAAAAAGAGAAGTTCATCAACATGTGATTTCAACAGGTTGAAGACTGTCCTTGCAAACTAAAATTAAACTTGACAGGATCTGACAGAAACAAAGTGCAAGCCCTACCTTAGAATCCTTAAGGTACAGGAAAAAAGGCAGACCAGAGAATAAATTGGCCGTGGTTTGGGAGGCCTGGTACGACAAAGAATATATTGGTTATTATAACCGACCACTAGAAATGGAATTATAATGTTTTTGTACGGATTGTCTGGTTATACAAGTCTATTGAGAGTAGAACGATGTGCCCATTTATCAAAATCCTAATGTAAGATCTTATAAAAAAAACTGCATACTTCCCGATTTTCTGCACCTGACCACATAGATCGTTATAGTCAAAATCAAACCATTTTTGACTGATTTTTAATTTTAAAATGCTCATATTAATATAACGATATCAGAAGTTTGGAACAACACATGAGAGGGGACAATATGTTTTAGAATGGATCTTTACCAAGCTTTGCTCTAATATACAGCAAGATTTATATGCACATATGATCAATATTAAATCACGCAAAGTGGTTTATGGGTCAGTGAAAACAATCAAACCGAATGTATAACTAATCATAACGAGTAAAATACATACATTGATAGTATGACAACAAGTGTTTAACTTAGCAGTAATAAGAATACAACAGACTGAATCACTGTTGCAACTAAGTAGGTCAAAACGTGGGACAATAAACATCAAATCAGCATTGGTAGAAGATTATTACGACAAATAATCAGTACACTACTGGATGCTGAAGAAGGGATGTGAAACTAGGTGAAAAAGGGTATTGAAAAGTAATAGAATCACCTTATCACGTCATTTCTGAACACAAACTACGTTTGTCTGTGAATAGTTAATGGCACCAGTTGGTCATCTAATTTTGTGGATATACAGTTGGTTTAAACCTTTACTTAAATGCTGTGTTTATAAGACCAATTCACATATCTTTAGAAAGAGTATTGCGCCAAAAAGAAAAACTGACTAGTACCCTGGAATCGCAGACAGACAGACCCTAGAATTGCGCATCTTGAATAATTATTTTTGTACATTCATTGGCAGTGAGGGATCACCTTATTAGGTGTTAATGCATTGATAGGTTATTCCAGACAAATCGGATAAGGCATCCTCGAATATTTCACTTACAAACTCGTATTGTGGTGGGTGCTACTTATGCGGACATATATACATAACGCGAATAAGTAGTAGAATTCTCATTGGCAGGAGAAATGAGAAGAGGAAGAAAAATACAGAGCAATTAGAGTAACAGCAAGAGCGAATGAACGTTGGAGACTGGTAAGGTCAACTCAAATCAAATGTACAAATGGTACATTTAGAGTATTGTTTCATATGTTACAAGGGCAGTGTGTAATCTTTTATAATACAAGTTCTTCCTCTCTTGTCCCCACTGTCCTTCTTTACAATATCACAATAATTAGAAGGACACATACAAGCGAATAACATTGTTTTCAATTAGATCGTCACCAGGCTTGAATATTTATATGAAAATGTTAAACCAATCAAGACAATTTCAGTCACTAACCCCAATGAAATGAAATGGATTACGTCACTACACATAGTAGGTAAAAGTTGATAGTAGGAAGACAGGTATACTGATAGCAGTAAGAAAAATAAAATATGATAACAAACGTTTCATTAATAGTTCAACATTGGAGATGGTAGGTCAGAGGTGGATAAATAGATTTAAAATAATCATAACAAAATAGTAAAACCATTACGTACTAAGAAGTGTGTACATAATTAGATAGTGAAGAATACAAACGAAAAGAGGCAGAAAACTACAAATAAATACAGGATGTGAAAATAATGCTAATAATGCCAAAAATAAAATTTGAAAAAAGGGCAGAATATTGTTTGGACGTTCAAGAATGATTAAGTTAGAGTTATGATTAATATGATTGTGTAGCATACTTAGCAATCATATTGTTGTTTAGCACCATAGCGCACAACTTGAAAACTTGTATTATATCAATCTGAAGTAGAACTACTGTCGTATTTCATTGAATCAATAGAGACTGAGTGCGATGAAAAACAGTAATCACTATTTATTCAAGCCATTTTATATATTCGTTGTCTGATGTATCAGGTTTCGTTTCAAAAAGTGAGCTCAACTTTACAGGCAGATATGGGAAGCTAAGTCCACTGAGTTTCGTTAAAAGTCTTGAAGTCTAAAAGGTGGTATTAACACCTGACAAAAAATAAGCCAAGCATTATTGTTATTCATTTGTATTGGTTGTTTAAATTTTCCCGTTGATAATTACAAGTGCAAATGATCAGTCCATTCTGATACATGTGCATACTGAGCAGATTATGTCGATATTGCCAATAAGTCACAAGTATTATAAACAAAGACGAAGTACGGGTAGAAGTGGAATCCAGGACGCGCGTTTTGTTCTATTTTAGACCCGTCACCTGGATGTGCCTGGATCTCAGAGTTAATGCTCAATCAATTATTTGAACTCACTACCGTTCGCTTCAAATGCCATCGCGTTATCCGCTTACCTAGTGAGTCGAGACGGCCATTGGCTTGTGTAGTCAGGTGAAATTTTATTTATTTGTATCTAGAATCAACAGCTAAGTGGATAAAGCGATGATGTTTAAGGCGAACAATACTACGTTCGAGTCTCAGAGTGAACAACTTTGGAGTGCTAGTACATTCAGCTGACAAGCCCCAAACATGACGGAATGCGTGTCATTGACTCAACTGTTAATCACTTTCCATTTCTGCCTATATTATTATTGTTTACAATATGAGTCAGAAAGCCTCATTACAAACGTACATCAACAAACCTTATGCAAATGGTGTGGTTCTAATTTGTAACATTTACATCTTATGGAAATTAAGATATAAACGACACAGTCTGTTTACAAGGTTCAATTCAATGGTTCTTAAGTAATCAAAAATAAACTAAAAGACAAAGACAAGGCGTTGATAAAAAGCAAGGATAATGATATATACCAATATACTACACTGATGATTTATGATTTAATTAAAATATCTGATGGGAAAAGCAGCGAATCAGCCAGGTCAATGAAAATATTTACGATATCCATTTTTTTAGTATCACTTACCTATATGCTTCACTATTCAGAGCTTTGTTGATAAAGTCACTTGTTAGTGATACCAAACGAATACTTTCATTATGAATCTAAAAGAACATAAGTTTATTATTATTTTTGTTATTATTAGTTCTAATATATAGTATCGGTGCTAGTATTATGAAAAACGGGATAAACTGTGAGAACCAGTTTAGTGATAAATGTACCAGTATGGTGATTTGTAACACAATGTTGTCAGGTTTCTAGTCTAACTGCACTATATTATGCACATGAGTAAACCGTTCGCTGGATTGATGAATAAATTTACAAGAACTATGAAATAGGCATGATACAAAATAAACAGATATTTGTCAGTTGAACACAATAAAAGAAATGGACGGAAACGTAAATTGATTAGAATTCATTCACAATAAAACATGCAACTATGTTTCGCATTAAAAGTTAAAATGTGAACACCAAGTGCTAGCAAACGTGAGTAAAATTTTTTTTTATACAACTACAGAGTTATTAGGCCATTTGTAAAAGTAAAGCATCTTTGTGTGTCATGAACATCTTGACAATTGCTTCAGAAATAAATTGAGAACCTGCTTATATCCAATGAATAGCCAGTCACCAATCACAGGTTTTATCAAGGTATTCAGTTTCGACAGTTTCACCGTTCAACATAGCAAAAAAACAAAAACATCAAAATGGAATCGCCCACTAAAGTGTATAAGTACAGGTTTTTAAACTTCATTACAGAAAAAAAACTGGTAAAGCACGAACAATACAAGAATCAATATTAAGGAAATTGGTTGAGAAAGGGAAAAACAGAACAAAAGTAATAGGATATAAAAGATCTACGTGAGTGAATGCATCACTGTAATCGATATGAAGTCGTGTTACCCAGAGTGACTAGTGACTTTGGTTTTAACATCTATTGGTGATACGACTACTAAAACTTTTTGCGAGTATTAGCATATTCAATTATTGGGACATAATAGTTACTCTATCATAAGAATATCTACAAGCAAGTCAACGAAACTTCCCTTCAGCTTATTTTTCACCGACTGAAATTAACTCCATATTTCTAAACGTTTTCATGCGATAAAATATAAGCTTTGATTCACTTTCAGCTCAATCAAATCACATTCCAATGTATTACTTTCAATCAAGAAGCTCCATTCTGAACCAATCACAAGTGGATGGCTTATAAAAATTACAACTAACGACACAAAGACACCATAAATGGGGTCAAACGACTCATCCATTGGAGTAAGGATAGTCCTTATTGAGTTACAATTAAACTGCTAAGCCAATCTCTATATAAACCAAGAATCTTCCTTCATCAAAATGAATAAATAGAAGGTACAGACTGATCTCGAGTCTTCATAAACAAAAAAATGGTTTTGACCTTCATGGAATTTCGTAACCTACTTCATTCTTTTACTATCCCACAATGATTTTAACTTCTTACAACCTAAAGCTAACAAAATCCTGGTTCAATGCAGAGTAAACCTTGAACCATTTCCTAATATCTCCTATCCCCGAATAAACCTTATCATCCTTTATATTTATATTGTTCCAAGGACTAAAATATAGGATGGTCTTAGAAGTGTATGTGTACCTAAAATATTTGGTGAATAATTTTTTTTGCAGGATTTAATTAGATTTGGTTTTTATTACTCTTCTTCTCGCCTCCTCACGTTTGGGCATCAGGTGATTCTCGATTACTTACACTCGGACGGGATCATGAGAGTACAGGTATGAATCTTAAATTATAGTGAAAAAAGTTATTTGGTATTTCATAAACACTAGTGATTGTATAAGTTTTTTGTAAATAAATCCATTCTACAGAAAAGCTACCTAGTTTGAATTTCAACCACTCAGCAGTATTATAAATAGCATTAATAAAAACTATTTAAACGTACTTGAAATGCTAAAAACATTGTTAGCAAACAAAAAGCGAAAATAAAGAAGACAAGAATAAACAGACTGACTACACTGTCCAACCACGAGTCCAAGTAACGACAAAGCTAAAATAATTTAAAAAATCAGTTTTTTTTCAATTTCACGAAAATTATATCAGTTTACTCGATAAATATGCAAATGAAAAGACGCAAAACACATTGACATACTATCAATCCTGAGATCATTGCCAAAATCATAAAAGGTCTATAGTAATAAACCGATAGCTTATGTACACAAGGTAGTGATAATATAACTGGATAACTTAATGTGAGTTCATAAAATCAGCGTCAAGTTATATTTCATTATGAGGATTAATGGTACTAGCCAGCTGTCCAAATTGACGTAAACGGAGTGAAATTCTACAGCTTTAACCTTTATACCACTAATCTGCATAAACTAGAAAACAAAAAGGAAACTATAGGATATACAAAATAATATTTAATTATATCTGCAGTCTATTAAGCTACCTTTAGTATCAAACGATACCGAAAACAGTGGTTTCTAAATTGTTCTCACTTGGTCGACTCTACCAACTTATTTAATGTGATTCAAAACCGAGAGCCTATTTCCACATCAAGGTTTAAAGGTAAGCGTGATAAACACTAAAGATGAGTTGTGTAAATCCATTTGAATATTGTATGTTTGTTAAGCATGATTACAAAATTGAAGAATATATTATATGAAACTCAACTATTAACGCCGAAGATTCACATATCACGTTGGAAACATCAATTTATCGCTTCTCTAACAGGCACATTTCAAATTGTCTAAACTTGCAGCAGATAAATGTTGGTTCTAAACAGTATATTATTAAGTGATAATACGTTTAAGTTACTACCATCACATTCTCGCTAGCAAATATAGATTTCCGTTAAGCATTTTAGCGAGGCGAATCGAGAAATATTAGTTGGAAAGTGCAGATGCATTCAATTTTCATCTTCTCTATCTTGAATTCCAGTATTTCTTTACATATAGCCTCCCACTCTTCCTTCTTGAATTATATTCCGAAAGTCTAACCTACCGTATCAAGATTACCGCTACATCATTTTGATCTCTCTTGCAAGTTATCTTGTTAATTTCATCTCTTCGTACTGAAAGTGGTGATGGAACCGCATAACTTCACCAAGTTCTTCATTGATGATAACTGACTCATTTCATGCATTTCAATCAACGTGAATAACAGTTATCACTACCATATTTGGATCACGAAATATTATTTCTTACAAATTATCTCGTAAATTTGTTTAGCAAGAAACTGTGCGGTAAACCATAGCAGTTTACACCATACAAAAACATATCCAAAAGTTTTGAAGACATTTTAAATGTTTTAATGGTTTTAAAAGGTATAATTAACATATCGAAGTACAAGTACTACTCTTATCCTTATACAATTGATCATACTACTTTACTTGAAATCTAGTTTATCGATGAAGCACATGAAGTTAATATTTCGGGATATGATACATACTTTTTTCAGATATAACTTTTAGCTAACTATACCGATTAACTGAAATATTACTCACAAAAATGTCCCATGGTCGGTGTATTAAAGTGGATTTTCATGGAACAGAAGTGGTTAAAAATACTGGGTAGTATCAATATATCTCCAAAATCTATATGTTACTCCAAAGTAAGTTTGGATTTCTAAGCAAATAGCTCGAAGCACAAACAGCAGATTCAATCTGGAAAACAAATTCCCAATTTATCTTGATAGCTGCGCAGTTGAGATTGACTTGTTTTGCTACTCTTTTATTTCAAGATATAAGATCTTGAGTAAATAAAACTATCACCACAAGCAAAAGGTAATGATCAGTCTCTTTATTCAGCAATATCACAAATTTCGCGACATACCTTTCTATCACAATATGCCAACAGTGTGAGTAATCCGTGCACAGGCTTAGGGACGACCGATCTTATGTAAGCTTTTCTTTGTTCCATAGTCATATTCGGAGTAACAGTCTCCAGTAAACTGTTCATTTTACAGAGAAACCAATATGATAGTTCTTGCAATTTTAAACAAAGTGATAGACGGAAAATTCCAAAGAAAATTAAAATAAAACAAATCACATATAACGGCCATTGATAGAGCCAAATAGCGACGAGAAAATGAGCCCAAAATAATGCGAGAAAACAACTATTGGCAAATGAACTATCAGAGCGACAATCATCATTTGTGTAAGCGTCGTTGAAAATTTTCGCCGATCTAGGAAGTGAACTGTCTCTATCACGAAACCTGTAAAAAAAATAAAAATAACCACCATAGCTTCTCTATTTTTTCAAAAATGGTTATACAAGAAAATTTAGGCGAAGAAATTTATTGAATCCATACATTTTGCAAGGTTTATTTAGGTCAGCGCTGAAAATACTTTCCAGATATAATAGCTTAGCTGCTACTCTGATAAGTTAAACGTAAAACAATTGTATTAAATCTCAGATAAAACCAGACCGTTATTATGCTGCGACCATAAGGGATTAGAAACATGATTATAAATAGGTTTTTAAACTAATACGAATTATTTAGCTACTTAGAAACTGAAAGTTATCGAAAATTTACAAGGATTTCTAACTCTCCTACCCCGACCGAAGCTGCTACCTTGACGTGGTGGTCGGGCTTGCCTATCGTGATGACCCAACCGAGCTATACTGGCTGGAACATATGTTCCTGCAGGTCCTACCATGCCAGGCTGGTCGATTGGAGAACGATGAGACTAAAAGCAGCTACCCAAGGTCTGAGGGCGAAGTCGTACTGCTGACCGCAGAGGGGTGTGACAGCAGTAAGGTGTTTCCCTCGGACAACCAGCATCTGCAGCGATGCTGCCTTCTCACAAGGAAGGAAGGGTTAGAAAAGGTCGGCCCTAAAAATGTCACACTCCCCCTAACTCACGGATTTCCGTCTCCTTGGGTAAGGGTGCCCACTAAGGGCCTTTAAGAACGGAGCTAATCCTCAAAAAACATTTCATAAAAAGGCCGTGCGTGACCGGCCTCAAGCAGTTGTCCCTTGGACTCTGCGGTCACGCACCAACACTAATCCATCTTCCTTTTCAGGTCCCTCAAGAAACAACCTTCCACGGTGTGGGCAGCCGGGGAGTGACTACCGCCCTCATACCCGTACCAGCACGGGAGACCAAATTGGTCAAAATCAAATCCTTCCTACACCCCCTCATGTCTCTCTTATCTCTACGACTAACTGTACTCACACTCCCTTTTCTCACTGCACCGCTAATGCAGACGAAGCGAGATCACGAAACGTCGTTCCTGGTCTCTTGAAACCCCGTTCTAGACTACATGTTGGAGCTTTTAATGTACGGACATTGTGTCAAATAGGGCAACAGGCATCATTAGCTAGGACTTTAGAATCTCGTGCCATCGATGTATGCTGCGTCTCGGAAACGCGCATATAGGATCCTACTAAAGTCATTAACCTGATTCCACCTTGTCAAAACGAAGAAGCAGTTCGATCTACTCTTCGTGTATCCGGTAGCCCTGATGCTGCTTCCAGGGGTCTTGCTGGTGTAGGCATAGCGTTGAGTCCTAGGGCAGAATTATCTCTCCTAGACTGGATCCCAGTAGATAGTCGTTTGTGCGCTGTCCGACTAAACGGGACAGTAAGGACTCGGAAGGATAGGGACACTCGCCGTTGCCTCTTCGTCATATCTGCCTATGCCCCCACTGACTGCAGTGCAGACGAGGTTAAGGATGAGTTTTACAGAAAGCTTTCGGACCTCCTCCAAAAAGCTAAGCGCTCTGACATAGTAATAATGGCTGGTGACTTTAATGCTCAAGTAGGTAGACTAGGTGAAAAGGAAAGACATCTTGGTGGATGTTATGGTGTAGCGACAGAGAGAACAGACAATGGCGACCGTCTGTTGCAACTATGCTCAGATAACCGCCTATTCTTAGAGAACACCAACTTTAGGCATAAGGAAAAGCATCTGTTGACCTGGCGACCGCCGAAGTCGTCTCAACGTTGGACTCAACTAGATCACATCGCCATCAGCCACCGATGGAGGGGTTCGATAGAAGACTGTCGCTCGTTCTGGAGCACATGTTTGGATTCAGATCATGCTCTAGTGCGAGCTCGTATCTGTTTAAGGCTTACTGGACGTAGGAAAGACACCGTAAGAAAGCCTCTCAGGGTTTTACTTAATGATAATCAAACCAAGAAAATATTTCAGGAGCAACTAGAAAGACAGTTAGGCGACCATTTAAGCGATTCCCATCCGGAAGCAGGATGGAATGATATCAAAAAGGCTGTGGAAACAGCAGTGATATCTGCTAGTAAGGTAAACCATAAGGCTAGGATGAAGCCGTGGATATCAGTCGCATCTACCGAACTGATGGATGCTCGAAAACTCATCCCACCTGACTCTGAGCATGATGAAGAGCGTAGTCAGCTTAGGCGCAGACTTATAAAAAGTCTGCGTAACGACCGCGAGCAGTGGTGGGTGGCGAAAGCAAAAGCGATGGAAAAGGCAGCGGCGATAGGCAACACTAGACAACTTTTCCGCCTTATTAAAGAAACTGGTATTAGGAATCATAGTGTAAGTGAGACTATCTCGGAAAAGGATGGTCTTATTATCCATTCTCAATCCAGGAGAATGGATCGATGGGCAGAACACTTTAGAGATCAGTTCAACTGGCCACGAGCCACTCTTCGGTTACCCACGATCTCCAGTCATCCTGAATGGCAAATCGACGTAAGTCCCCCTAGTCTTAATGACGTTGAGAAAGCGTTAGGAAATCTGAAACGAGGACGAGCTGCAGGTCCTGATAGACTGACCCCTGAGATATTTAAGGATGGTGGTCCAGTTTTAGCAGCTAGATTGACTGAGATCTTAGGTAGAATCTGGGAACTGGACGTAATCCCATCCGACTGGTCTCAATCCTTGATTGTCCCAATCTATAAGAAAGGACAGAAGTCTTCTTGTGACAATCACAGGGGAATAAGTCTAACTAATATAGTATCTAAAATATTGGCCTCAGTAATACTTCGACGCTTAACGAAAGCTCGTGAAGAGCAGACTCGAGAAAACCAGGCTGGTTTTCGACCTGGACGTGGCTGTATAGACCACGTCTTCACACTCAGACAGGTCCTGGAACATAGACACACATTTAGGCGTCCTACAATAGTTGTTTTCCTAGACCTTAAGGCGGCATTTGACTCTGTTGATCGTAAGGTTCTGTGGCAGTGTCTGTCATTGAAAGGTGTACCACAGAAGTACATTAACCTTATACAAGCCCTTTACTCGAACACCACTGGTCGGGTGAGGGCTTATGGCGAACTGTCACCGGAATTCTCTACTTCAAGTGGTGTCCGTCAGGGATGTCCACTTTCTCCATTCTTGTTTAATTTCATCATAGACATGCTCCTAGAATTAACATTATCCTTGTCTGAATTTTCTGGAGTAGACCTTCTACCAGGTGGCTCGCTTATTGACTTAGAATATGCCGATGACATAGTCCTACTTGGAGAAGACGCTGACAAAATGCAGAGTCTTCTGACTACCATAAGCAACAATGCAAGTATGTTCGGGATGCGGTTTTCCCCCTCGAAATGCAAAATGTTGCTTCAAGACTGGGTTGCATCGGCACCTGAACTAGTGATAGGGAGTGAAGTAGTCGAACGTGTAGACCGCTTCACTTATCTGGGGAGTCTCATCAGTGCCGATGGCCTGGTGACAGACGAAATCTCAGCTCGGATACAGAAGGCTCGATTGGCTTTTGCCAACCTGCGTCACTTATGGCGTAGGCGAGATATCCGTTTGCTGACTAAAGGACGAGTGTACTGCGCAGTAGTTCGCTCCGTCTTACTTTATGGCTGTGAAACATGGCCAGTGAGAGTAGAAGATATTCGTAGGTTACTGGTTTTCGATCATAGGTGTCTTCGAAGCATCGCTCGTATATCGTGGGACACCCGAGTGAGCAACGCTGTTATTAGGAATCGGGTGCTAGGTAAGAATGGCAGATCAATCGATGAAGTATTGAAACTTCACCAGTTGAGGTGGTTGGGACATGTTTTGCGTATGCCCAACCACCGGCTGCCTCGTCGAGCCTTGTTTTGTAGTGTAGGAATAGGTTGGAAGAAAGTTAGAGGCGGCCAAACCAAAACATGGCAGAAATCCATGAAGTCATTGACTAGTGGACTGAGCCATGTCGGTAATTGTCGACTACCTGGTTGGGGTCCGCGAGATGATAATAATCGATGGTTAGAGACCTTGAATGACATGGCTCAAAATCGTTCGCAATGGTGCCGGTGCATTTATTCTCTATGTTCTCTCAAATGCTAGTCTTCTGGATTCTTCAACCCCTCTAGTTTCGACTCTCTAAACTTTTCTCACTGAATCATACTTCTTGAATAGTATCTTCTAATCCTAACCTCTCCGATTATTTCTAATTCCCTTACTACCTCTTCTACTATTGGATTTGAATTGACGATTACTTCTCTGTGCTGATGTGGTATGGCAACATGAACTGATGTACTTATGTACAAAGTTCTACGTTGCATCTGACTGACTGACTGACTGACTGACTGACTAACTCTCCTACATGAACGCATTTTTGGCTGATAGTGATCTATTTTATTTTAGCATTTCAGTATGCATACAATAATATTTCCATAATACCTATTTGAATTAACTACCAGGAAAAAAATTATAGAGATACGAGTGACTAAAAAACTGTTGCTGAATTTGAATAAAAACTAAACTAACGAGATTTTATGAAAACGATCTTTTTAAACTACTGATTCTTAAAATCTTATCTTCGAACACAGAAATCGACTCAAACACAATCATGAGATATTAAATTACTCAAATACATAAAATTATGCCTTATTCATGAGCTTACCCCTTCCCTTCTAATATTGCGTTCCATGATTTTGCGGAAGAAAAACACAATTGTTCAGACATGAAAGCTCGGAGCTCATTAACCGGGTCAAATTTGTAAGATGCTCTCGTCGGTATTGGAAGGAAAGCTTGCCTGAATTAGATACATGAGTGAAATAGATACATGTAATAAATCATATACAAACAAAATACTTCACTGAAATCAAAAATTTGACTACAGCATGGTTTTGTAGGATACATTTGCCATATTATTTAAAAATGTTTAAGCATTTATAATGATTTGCGCTAAATGGAAATTGATGAAATTCTGTGACTAAGAAATCTAATATCATTATTCTGCCCAACTGCGTGACATTCAAAAAATCTTACTAAACGCTAGATATATGTTAAAGGATCTATGAGACCGTATTCTATGTTAAGAAGTTTACTCTTAAGATATCCTTAAGATCAACCAGTCAGCTACAACGTAGAACTTCGTACGTACGTACATCAGTTCAAGACGCCATACCACATTAGCACACAATTCAAATCCCGTAGTAGGAGAGGTAGCAAAACTATTAGCGGTAACCACAAGGATTAGTGATCGAAGATATCATTCAGGAAGGATATCCCAGAGAAATCGATTTGAAAAAGTAGAAGAATTCAGAAGATTAAAGTTTGAGAGAAGAAAAAGAATGGATGCACCTGCGCCATCGCAGGCGATTTTGAGCCATATCATTTCAGCACATATACCAGAGCAAACTATATACTCGCCGGGACTAATAAGTGAATTGATAGACAGTTTTAAGATAAGAAAAGAGTAGCATTTTGACGAGAGTTTACTGAAATACTTTCCAAGACCCATCATTTAGGCAGTTGGAAACAAACATATACTAACTACTGCACAACAAATAGCATGAACCTTAGTCGTTAGAAATGGTCCATAATGTGAAAAATTACAAATAAAAACCTGATTATGTAACTAAACATACTTGGCTAAAAATGTTACTCGATCGTTTTTAATTTTGCGGAGTAGGTTTTAAGCTGGTAACTCGACGAGTATCAAGCTTCCAAGTCATTGTGTTTCAGCACTACCGAGATGTGTGGTTAAACTTTACAAGACAGAGATACTAATAATAGATAAACAGGTATAAAATATTATAACGCAGTGAATGGTCCACAAAGATTCTTCATAAAGGTGCACTGGCGTTTTAATTAGAAGAGTATTTGCTACTTAAGGGGTATGATTGTGTAAGAAATGTAACAAATAGTTTATGAAATCGACCAATTAATACACCACCCTTAGGCTTGTGGTTAACTGTAAATCAAAAAACGCAATCAATCTAGCTAAGTAACCCAGAAACACAACTATGGAGTGCAATTTTTAGATTCATTTTACTTTATTTAGGTTATATAACGTAAAATAAATGAACTATAGCAGGACGAGAGCCACACCTGTAATTGTTATTATTCTCATTTGACTAATAGACATACAATCATCCAACTGACATTAATATTACAAAAGTTGCCAAAATGAGGATGGTAATAAATAGAATTAATCTGAATAAAATATTTTCCGGACTTGGAGAAAAACTTACCTTAGAAACTGGGACCATCTAAGAGGAAAACCACTTTGACGTTGTCCTTGCTCTTTTGTGTTACTTTGGTGTATTTGGGTAGAACTCCCGAAAGATTTGTTGAATCCCGAACTAACTTCCGTCAGTGTATCACAGGAAACAGCACTCCTAATAAGCTCGGTAGATCCCCCGTCTGGCGCAGTAACAGTGTGACAAGAAGCCCACCGTTCTGCAAGTAATAAAAGTGAGAAAGTGGTGTATGATTCCGAATAACAAGTCTATTACTAAGATCTTATGTTAACTATGTCCTCGAAAGTAATACAGTGCCAACATATTGTGAGGTCATAAGAGCGCGTTTCCACCATGAACAAATACCCAGTAGGTTCACTTAATAATATAATATATATAATAATATAATATAATAATATATTTAACCACACGAAGACTTTTGGAGTTCAAACTTATTCACTAACTAAGTACATCCATGTTCCACACTAGTTTTATTAGATTATTGGTGTACGTTCACGGTTTTTCTTACCTTATGAGCTAACTACCATATTTTCGGCGTTTCTAGGATAACTTAGCTAACCAACCACATTATCCTACATTAAGATAATCGTAACATTCGCTGGTTACTAGTTCACAATAATCAATCATGTGAAATTTCAAATTCCACACGAAACAACACCTCGAAATAAAGCTGCAATGATAAAATATTACTGATACTTGTATAAGTATAACTAAGTGAGATGAGAGCAACAAAGTTCTAAACACAAACCTAAAGACTGATAAGATAATATAAGTTATTTTAACGTTATCCTGAACATGGACGTAATTATCTAACCTTGACAACCGCCATCAGATTCGTCCGTGAAACCCCAATATCCAACTGCCAAGACTGCTATAGAAAGAAAAAACACTGGTATCCGTAGGAGCCCGCCAAATGATGTACACCACAACAGCAGTGATAGCCAAAACAAATGAGACACACTGTACACAAAATGGAAATTAGACGGTCTCAGTAAAGCGATTATGCCGTAGACGATACCTAGAGTTATGACCTGCAAATCCGGAAATCTAGACGAAACTTACTGATTTAAACGACGTCCACTCTAAAACATAGTCAATTATTGTTATTACGTAATGAGAGGAGTTAACAAACAACCCAGGGAGCCAGAAGAAATCAAAGTAAGAAGAAATGTTGAGAGCAAGGAGAAGAAACAAAGAGGTCCTAAGTAAACTCCAGTGGTCAGACATTTTTTTGATAAATACAGAATAAAGAGCATTGGAAACTCGGAAAGGTACAACAAAAGTTTCCACTAAAAGCAACTGATCTTCTGCATCAACACGTCTAACCCATCCGCGAATAACGTCGGTCAACGAACTTTTAAATGGATACAACACTGTTCCACACAAAACAGCCCATAAAAGAGGTCTGACAAAAATCTGAAGTGTATAATAAACTGCCAGAATGGCAACGCAAATGCAAGAAAGAATAATAAAAGCAGCGGCATTGTAAAATGCTTGTCGAATAGCTTTGACTTGAGAATGTGACAAATGAAAGTACTGTTCGATGCCAAAAGCAGTAACTACAAAAGGCTCCATCAATAACTGTGTAGCCCGATAATCCTTGCACTTATCTAAACATGGGCGCCAGAATCTAGCAGTGTTTTAGAAATAGACACCACCCATTCGAAACGCCGCCTAATAATCAAGGTCATATGTAATTTTCAAGGCCCAGTTGAGACTACATAATTTATAAGACAGAGATAAAAATTACTCATATCGTTCAAAGGCTAAGAGAATGATATCTGCTTATCATTTATATATCCAAACAATTTTTGGGAATCCATACCTCACCTCAACAACTGGTTAGTCTCGACCACTCACTCTAAAAATATCTTTAAACTCCTTATTCCAAACTTCTGGCCTGACTCATTTTGGGATCCTTGCTGGTTGACGTGTTTTCAAAAAGTTTTTATTAGGCACTGAATATCCGTGACACCTTTAGTGATCAAAGTGGGCTGATCCGTAAACAAAAATTCATGCTGTTTGTTTTTTCCGTGATAGCAATTCATTTATTTTTTTACCTATTTAGCGTTTTGTGGTATCATTTTCGCGCTTTCAGATTTTTATCCCTTTGGTATTTCAAAAAGAACCGTCTTTAAACATGGAAACCTAATTAATTGCTACATAACTCAGCAACTAAGTTGTTGCTACATGTTCGAAAGGCTATCGGCTAAATAACATTTGGCCAAAAACTTTCCAGACAACGCTTTTTATCTGAGCTTCCCTAAAGAGTTCAAACTGTTCTCCCCCCATTATGAAATAACTCAGTGGGTGAACAAGACACATCCGTTGGTTAGATTCACGAAGCTAACAGGAACCATAAAACAAGGGCCTGTCAATCATGACGAACTTATGGATTTCTGCAATATTACCTCTTGTTTCCCATACCTTCAGCATGATCCAAGATGACGCAAAGCTTTCTGATGGAGAATATCACAAAAAGGATCTGTTTCCACACCTAAAGAAAAAGACTATTGCGATTGGTATTGGTACTTACATTTCCATGGTAAGTCAGTTATAAATCGTGATGAACTTAAACTTCCCTGACCTCAAAGCTTTCACTATATTTTTAGTTCGCAGCAGCCATAGCCAGTGGACATAGCCGTCTCTTACACATAACTAATTCAATGAGAAACGTTCTCTACGTCTTCAAAATTGGAGAAGTTAACGTTTATCCTGCAGTCACTAACGGTCGTACACAAAAACGGTTTTCAATTTCAGGTGACAAACAGAAAATCTGCCGCAGCTTCTTGTAAACAGTTGGTTTTGCCCTAACCTGGATTCATAGAGGTGAGGGAATGTCACGCGTCCCAAAATGCATCTTCACGACCAATCAGATTATGGCGTTAATAGCGAGATTTACATTATTTCAGGCATTACTGTAACCTGTTTTGAATTCCGTATCCAGTCTAACGTTTTGCTTAGTTTGGTTTTCAGTTTCAATGGGATTGTTCTGTCTAAGAAGTGCTTAAAATTGTTTTATTTGACCTAATTTTAATCTTTTGCGATTTTTCATGTGAAGCGCATTAAATGCTCCGTGGTTTTACACTACTGAGGAGTCAAGTGAACTAAACTGCGAGTTAAAATACTTCTCTATCGTGTTTCCAGCTGAAACGCTACCAAGACTGCAAGGTCAACTTCAGATTGTATAAGCCCATGTTGCGTTAATCAAGTTTGGTCAAACTACATGTTTACATATAGAGCTCCTGCTAGCCGTAACGTAATTTAGTACTACAGTGTCGTAAGAACCATCGAAGAACAATAGCACGCCTAGCATGTAAGCAACCTGATACCACGAATCTATGACTACGTGTAGTGTATTTCGATATGAACTGCTTGCACTCACAAATGATCTGGTTTACTGTACACACCATTGTGCTAAATGAGCAGTATATATCCTTCGAAATTCGTAAACAGCTTGGGTAACATAAAACTAACCTACACCACTATAGTAATCAGTGTAGAAAACTCACTCACTAAAAAAACGCTAAATAGAGGAGTCGATTCAGGCCATTTAAACTCTACCCTGGCAGTTAGAAGATTCTGGGCCACAAGAAGTCCCATTTCAAGGAACAGATTTCTTTTGGTACGCCCGATTAATTGAAGAAAGGAAGAACAAGTAGGCAGCAATCGCCATCTGTCAAACAAGAGCAGAATACAGAGAAGTAGACAAGCAGGCAATATATGGAAAACCTAGCAATGACAGCGGAAATGTCTGAAACAGAAGGATACTTAAGACAGTTGTAAGATACAACAAAGAAGCTTGCCGGAAACTATCCTAAACCAGGTCAGTCAGTGAAAAGCAAGGGAGGTAAAGTAATCAGCAACACTGAAGGGCAGCAAAACATCTGGGTGGAGCACTTTAAGGAACTTTTGAATCGACCAGCTCTACTGAACCCACCCGACACCGAAACAGCATATACGGACCTCCCAATCGATGTTGGCGCACCTATAATTGAAGAGATCAGTATGGCCACGAGACAAATCAAAAACAGCAAAGCAGAGGGACCAGACAACATTCCAACTGAGGCAATGAAAGCAGACGTAGAAGCAACTGCAAAAATACTTCACATTCTCTTCAACAAGATTCGGGATGAAGAACAAGTACCAAGAGACTGAAGAGAGGGATACCCCATCTAGATAACAAAGAAAGGTGATCTCAGCGAGTGTGAGAACTTCAGAGGCATCACCCCCGTACCAATAGCAGGCAAAATTTTCAACAGGGTGTTGTTAAACAGAATGAAACACTCCGTAGACGCCCACCTTCGAGACCAACAGTCTGGATTTCGTAAGGATCGATCGTGTACCGACCAAATTGCAACATTACTGATCATTGTGGAACCTTCGATTGAATGGAACTCACCACTCCACTTCAAATTCGTTGACTATGATCAAATATTTGATAGTGTGGACAGGACAACACTATGGAGGCTTCTATGATACCACGGCGTGTCTGAGAAGATAGTCAACATCATGCGAAATTCTTACGATGGATTCAACTGAAAAAATCGTGCACAGAGGACACCTGACAAACTTGTTCGAACTAAGGACTGGTGTCAAGCAAGGTTGATAACTCTCAACCTTTCTCTTTCACCTAGTAATTAGCAGTATTTTAAAGATGTCGACATCTAAAGGGAAGTACAGTATACAATGGACAACTAGGATGCAACTGGACGATCCGGGGATTTTGGGAGAACTATTGCACATGCAAAAAACATGCTAAAGAAGACTACCAGTGTAGCAGCAGCCTCATAGGTAGTAGGTCTCAGCATACACAAAAGGAAAAGCAAGACTCTTCGGCACGACACAACATGTGTCAACCAAGTCACTTTCGATAGAGATGCCTTGAAGGACGTAAAAACCTTAACATATTTGGGCAGCATCATTGACGAACAAGGTGGGTCTGATGCCTATATGAAGGTGCGGATCGGCAAAGCAAAGACATCATTTCTATAAGTGAAGAACGTTGGGAACTCAAAATAACTATCAGCAAACGCTAAAGTCACAATTTTCAATACAAATTTCATGGCAGTTCTACTCTATGGAACGGGAATTTGGAAAAATACGAAAGGTATTTATTAACAGTTGTCTACGCAAAATACTTAGGATCCGTTGACCAGACACCATCAAAAACATGGTATTGTGGGAGAGAACAAACCAGGTTCCAGTGGAGGAGGTAATCAGGTAAAATGGAAATGGACTGGATGCAGGTTGAGGAAAGCATCCAACTGTTTCACAAGACGAGCCCTCACTTATAACCCTCAAGCACAAAGTAAAATAAGAAGGCCAAGAAACATATTACATCAAGAACTGGAAGCAGACAGAAAGAGAATAAAGAAAAATTGGACATAACTGGAAAGTAAAGCTTAAGACAGAGAAGGCTGAAGAATACTGATTGGCGGTCTGTCCCCCGTTGGGGGTCACAGGCTTATGTGAGTAAGTCAGTAAGTGAGTAAGCTGGTTTCGTCGCTTTTGGCTTTTTTCAACCCACTCCTACATCACGAAACATCAGTAGTCTACTGATAAAGATCCACTACTTCATCAACCGATTCGCGACTGTAACATAGTACCTGTTTCCTAACAGCTGCCTTACTAGCTCAATTGTCCCAGGATATACAGACGGTGCATCGAAGACATCGATGATCGAATACTCATCTCCTACGAATATCCTGTATACTTACTGGCCACGTTTCACACCTATGCAGTAAATGACGCAAGTTGGCAAAGGCTAGTCAAGCCTTCCTAATTCGTACCGAGACTCCGTTAGGTTTGAGGTCATCAGGACTGATGAGACTCCTCAGATAAGTGAAGCGGTCAACGCGCTCAACTACTTCACTTCCTAATGATAGTTAAAATTGCGATGCAACCCAATCCCGAGGCAACATTTCGAGTTGGAAAATGGAATACCGAACACTTGCATTGTTGCTTAGGGTTGTTAGAAGACTGTAATTTGTGAGCGTCTTCACCAAGAAGAGCTCTGTCATCGTCACATTCTAAGTCGATATGCGATTTTTTTGGTGAAAGGTCCACTCCTGAAAATTCAGACGAAGATAATGTTATATCTAGGAGCATGTCTTTGACAAAATTGAACAACAACAGAGAAAGTGGACATCCCTGACGAGCACCACTTGATGTAGTTAATTCTGACGACAGTTCACCATAAGCTCTAACTCAACCAGTGTTCAAGAAAAGAGCTTGTATAAGGTTAATGTACTTCTCTGGTACAACCTGTAGTGATAAACACTGCCATGGAACCCTACGATCCACAGAGTCAAATGCCGCTTTAGGGTCAAAGAATACAACTATAATGGAACGTCGAAATGCTCGTCTATGTTCTAGGACCTGACGATGAGTGAATATTTAGTCTGTACAGCCACGTTCAAGTCAGAAACCAGCCTGGTTTTCTCGAGTCTGCTCATCACCAGCTCTAGTTAGGCGTTAAAGTATTATCGAAGATAAAATTCTAGGCACTGTATTAGTTTGACTCATTTCTCCGGGATTGTTACAAAATAACTTCTGTCCATTATTTAGACTGGGACTATCAGTGATTGAGACAAGTCAGATTGGATTACGTCCAGTTTCCAGATTCAAGCAAAGATCTCAGTCACTCTAACTGCTAAAACCGGACCACCATCCTTAAAATTCTAAGGGGTC